CACAAGCATGTCCCCCGCCCACAGACACCAACTGGTGGCAGTCGCCCGACTATCAACATCAGCCAGTGATCAGCTTATTGATGAATGTACACAAACACCCCTTAATATCTCACAAGTATCTGAGCAATGGTAGACGACCACAGTCGACTTGCAACATAAATAAGGATCCTATTAACTCTGACAATCGGTTCAATTTTCTACCAAGCAGATGTTTCTTTGGGTTATGTGATACGCCGCACGTCTCTATGGAAACCCACCACCCACTCTAGGAATGACTTTTTAAGAGACACTCTGCATCCTCCCTTGATTGCCCCGAGAACATTTCAGATGATCAGTTGCATCTTGTCTTTTAATCTAATGAAATGAAAGAGTTCTTGGTTTTTTGCAAGTTTCCTTGGACATTTCAACAGTGTCAAAAGATGTCGGCTCATTTATTTAGGCCCGCATTCATACTGTGCTTTCACATAAAACACCTAAATCACTGCCGTTTAATGCGTCTACTGGAAACACATCAACCGTGATAAACGGAAGTAGCAGATAAGCCACATTTGTATGTGTAGCAGATAAGCCACATTTGTGTGTTACATGGTCTTGGGTATTTAGCCTTACAAAAGGAGAAAAGTGCAAGCTGGACTTTTGGCGGCACACTAATACATGTACATGCATATGCCAATTTAATTCCTGATATAAAACCTATTCCATGTGATGTTGCTTTTTGGTTTTTTAAGTTAATTGAAGTCGTACACTATGGGAAAAAAATGTTCCTTTGAGTTTATTGTTTTTTTTAAAAAGGAAGCTACGAATTCAAAGTCCAGATAGTCTACAGGTTTTTTTTTAAGAAAGATAACTTTCAGCAGGTGTAATTCGGAAAAGTTTGCAGATCCTGAAGTCATTTGGCCCAGTTTTTATCCATTTAGGAGAGTGCCATCAGAACTTTATTTCTATTCAATTCTGTGAATGCAAAACACAGGTAGTATCCCACTCGTGAATACTCGTACAACAGACTTTCTTCATGGCCTGTAAATACAAATTGCTTTTTGTATTGTTGCAAATGTCATTCTAGAAGCCAAACTATTTTTGTTTTAAAAAAATAATGGCTTTATGCCGTTTTAATCAAAGTTTCAAGCACCCTTCTCAACTGCTCTGGGAAAACAAATTGTATAAGAGAGATGCACTTTCAGCTTGTGATTTGAACATATTAATCCCAGGTTTTGTCCTTCTAAACTGCTCAGCGACTCGGTGGACGGTGTAGTAAGCAATCTGCCAGTCGGTATCCATAGAAACTGTAGCATCCAATGACACGGGGTTAGCCTGTCCCATACTCCATGCTAAATTTAATTGAAGTTTTCATGAATTCATGCACTGTACAATTTATGGTTGCACATCCTCCTTATTACTCCCTAAACCCAGACATTCTCATGGCGTTATATTGGAGTAGGCTTATCTGCGTAAGGCAGGTAATGCCCATGCTCACATGCAGACCGAGGCAGGTCCTGGGAAAATCAAGTTGTAACGGACTAACCAGAAAGGTGTATTTTTGTACGAACTGAAACTATTTGTACTTTAAAATACATGTAGTTACTTTAAGTGTGTTACTCTCTGTTAGCACAGATGTAATTACTAGTTTTTGATGAATTTGCCAACAGATATTGCCCATGATCTTGGCCAACGATGGTCCAATATCAGCAAGTTGGTCGAAGAACTCGTTACAAAAAACAAATTAAAAATGTACATGTCCTTTTCTACAACAGGGCAGACATTGCACTTTATGATGAACTCATCAATATGTGAATTTGGTGCAACAGCAAATTTCAGAACGGCAATGCTCAAGATTGAATATGCATGATGTGCGTGTACATGTAGCTTTAAAAAAGTACGAAAGAATGCATGGTTATAGAGTACCAGTTGGCAAACGACAATAAATTCTTCTCGCTGTCTCACTCCCAGAGCTAGTCCTAACTTGATCTTCCCAGAACCTGCCTTCCATAAATACCTTTAACCTTTGACATATGAACAAAAAAATTACAAATCAGTTACTTCTTTGTGATACTGCAGTTAACTGCAGACTATCTACTAATCCTGACACATATTCTTACTGAAGACCCATCTTTACGAAACCAATAAACTAGCCAACATAAAGACACCTCCATAAGATCACCCTTGATTTGCTATCCGTATTTGATTTGATACCAGTTGACAACTGACATTCTATACATGTACATGTTTATATTTGGATACATTCTCCTATGTACATCACTAGAAATATCAGTGGGACAAATGTGGAAGATTTTATTGAATTTAAAAAGGGGTAGATGCGACAGCACCATGTACACTGGCAGCAGGATTTGAATGAAAGCCTATACATACATTGTAAACAGAAACTGTTTCTTTTAGAGGAAGCTCTAAGACCTGAGTGCTCTGTAATGTCAATTTTTCAATTCAAAAAAGGCCTAAAAATAGGCACCTATAAAGTTACGGTAATCATTTACCTGTAGTAACAAGCTTGAGGCTTTGATAAATCAATCAACCAATTGCTGACATTACGTGTACTGTTTGGCCGAAAATCTGGCATTTAGAATGGGAAAATGTAGTGGCTGACTTCAAATACAGCCAAAATGCCACAGAAACCTCTTAAGAGTCATTTGTCCAAATTGTGTGATACATGTATTTCCCACCGCAAGTGCAGAATTTGCAACACTCCAAGGCCCTACCATGAAGCAATATTTGCTACAGCACAGGCTATGAACAGCAGCCAAGTACAAGCTCAACATACTCTATCTCCAGACATCTTGGATGTTGTGTACATACAAACATTGAGATTAGGTATCAATAAACTACTGTAGAGGCTCTGGCAACAGTAAGCAAATGAACCTGTCAGCCACTCACTCCTAGGAACACAGATTGCCTGATTGTGTTTACTACGTCATCCTCTGGTTCATGTACATTAGAAAGAGTTTCTGTTTAAAAAAAAAATTCCTAGATTTTAAGTCCCTGGCTAATTTCTTTTTGAAACGGCTACATTTTTTTGTGAGATAAGGATCTTGCAGGATCACATTGCCACTTTGAAACCAAACCAGTTATGCACAAAGTTTAATAAAATACTGTATTCACTCAAGATATGTGCATCCAATGCTTTTTTAGTTTTGAAAATAGCCAAATTTCTGCGATCATTTGTTTAAAGCGGAAAAAGATTGACTGGAATAAGTTCTATGTTCATGGAATAATAGGTTCATTCTGAAGGTAAATCTTTTTCCTCTTGATCTAATTTATCATCAAAAACAATTGATGGTAACCTGAAACAGACCGGACCTTCTTGACTCTGGATACATTGTCAACAGATAATTAGGACTCAGACAAGAACTTTCACTCAAACTCCAGGTTTGAGGTTTTCTTTTCATTCTAGACCTGCATGCAGGAGTAAGCCTACAAATCTACATCCTACAGGATACATGTATATTTAGGACAAAATGCATGGAGCGTGATGGTCTTCAGTCTAAGGCATTGCTCACTGTTTATGTTGCATTTTCTCTAAGTTTCGTCTAACATGACATGCTGCAAATATTACCAATGGAATCTGGGATGATTTGAAGACATTAAAAAATTTAATGCGTAATTTCTTTTTTAATCATATTTTGAAGACCTGACCCATGTATACCTCTTTGAATCAACTTGTCTTGATCAAGGCAGTAATGATAACTTGGCAAAAAACCATTACACGGAGGGATACTAGAGTTTGTGACAATGGCAGCAAGACCTTGTTTGGACTTGAGTTGTACTGCCTCAATGAGACCCATACATGTAGATGTAAGGGATTGCTTTAGATTCCAATCCTGTGACACTCTGAGAACTATACACTGCCAGTAGGTACAACAGTAGAGAAGCAAAGATGAGAATAGAATTTAGACAGCCGTTCTCAGGTTGTGACCTGTTCTGTCAGTGTCACTCCTTTACCTCTGTTCATCTATTTTTTTTTGCTTCGCCAAGATTTGGACTACTATATTGGGCAATTTGTAATGCTATGAGTTAGGCACACTCGGTGTAATGCCATGCTCAATTTTGTCTCGAGGAGAGCGGTTGGTTGGCCATTCAACCATTGATCTTTCAACAACATGTACGCCATGGGCTTTTTTATAGCTATTACATGTGGTCCTTGGATCGAAGAATACTCTGACCACATTTAAAAGTACTATCAAGGAATACATGCAGTTCTTCCAAAGAATAACGGAAAAATACTGTTATCATGGCCTTGATCAAGATTCTTCTCATCACAAAAGTCACAGACAACTTTTTGTGTCAGTCTTTAATTTTTACAGTCCTAGTGGAATAGCTTGGGTGATGGTGGGGGTTCAACCTGCAGTTGGACCGGAGAGCAAGTTTTTGAATAAGCAGGGGTCGTGATTCCAGCCATGTGGCCAGTAGTATATTGTCTCTTGACAGGTGAGACATGAAATGTCTCCTGATGACTTCAAAAATACTCTGTCAATTCCTGGCCATATTGAGAGTGCTCATGTGACTGGCATGAGGGAGGGATGATTCCTAACCCACTGACAGAATTTTGAGTCACAGCTGGGTACTTATGCAAGCATGAGCCAAGCACCTGAAGAATTTTATTAGAAATCTTATCTACGTGTATTTTTCCAAATTCAACCATTTCTCCAGTGATTAATAAATGGAAATCTCACAGGTTACAGACAGCAACTCTACCAGTACTGACTGCCAGGCTCATATCAGACGTGGTCTTGTCTTCCAATGGCTGCTTTTATACAAGCATGTCAAAATTTAGGAAAAGGGTTTCACACAATTAACAGCTTGCATGTATTAAGCAGCTATGAATGAACAGCCTTGAGTGTTTCCGCCGCTGTTTCTACAAATAACAAATTGAGTGAGTAGGAGACTGTCACGTTGGAACTGTTTTCCATCGAGTATGGCTCTCCGGTCAACTGTGCAAGTCAGGCTGCCATCATTGGCCTACGAATAAATTTTCAAAGGTTAACCAACAACCAATCACTTCAGTGATTGTGGCTGGAGACACACCCCCACCATCACCACAATTAGCTAAGCCACTGCCTATTACCTTAGACTGAAGACCATCTGTGCATTACCACCTTGTTCATACAGACTACAGCCCTACTCCTAGCCATGAGATACACAGTTGGGTTTAGCAAGTAAGACACCAGGATGTACAACCATTTTTGTTTACACCAGTGCATGAATTAGTTCTACAAACTTCAATTAAACTTACCATGGACGTTGTAGCTGGGACTGGCTCCCCGTGTCGATGCCACAGTTTCTGTTTTAGGATACTGAGAGGCAAATTGGTACCCAATTTCCCAGGCCATTCACTCCTCTGATTAATGGGCACACACTCACTTCCAATTTGCCGCTACCTTAACTTCCTTTGGCAACTGACAACTATGCAATTTGGACTGGCATTAACAGCAGAGGCGAGATTTTTTTTAAAGAGAAACTAAAGTCCTTGCACTCAAGAAGAGAGTTTTCTAAGGTGGTGAGTTTTTTCACATCACAAACTGAAAATGAAACTCGCCAGACATTGAATTGGTTTGGTTGGTGCCAGCTGCAGGATGTTGATGTTGATGATGCGGGGACAGTGATGTGACAAATTTACAAGATGTTCCATGAACTTCTTGGATGGAATTTCCCACTAACCCCTGGACAGATTCAGGAGTATGTGTGTCTCCTGTACAAATGGAGTGAATAGCCTGGATGCACCGTCCACCAAGCATTCTGACAGTTGTGTTTCTTGCTCTTTATGCACACCAAGAATTCCCCACAGCATTTTTAATGAGTTTGGCTTCTTTTTTCCTCACATTTTTTTCCATTTCTGATTTTTTTTCCTATTGCTTCTACCAATTAAATTGGAAACATAGTTCTTTGCACATCCCCAACAAACTTGAGATCTTTACGGATGAGCAAACTTGTGAACTGCTCATCTTTGGAAAAAAAATTTTTACCTAATAATTTTAGAAGCCTTAAAATAAGAAATTCACTTTCGATGTTTTCTGAAAATAGAAAAACTGTGCCAAATCCAAAATTTTATATAAAGGACTACATCTGCAATATCAACTAAACTTGAGTTTTGTACCTGCGTGTCTCCAAAAAAGCTTGCACTCCTCTTGAAATAATGTTTTTATGTGACCATGGAAAACCACATCAATAAGTACTCAACAAGCAATTGTGCATGTTTGCTCCCAAAACATAAATTTCCACTGAGTTTGGGACTGAACTTCTCAGCTTAAGCTTGCACTCTTCTGGATTTACTGAAATGCTGCAATCTCTTTCATCCAAATGATGCTTTTTGGAAGTTGAATGCTGTGTTCAAACACATAACTCTGTGATTCAAAAGAACTTGATAAGTGACTTTGGAATACAAAAGCAGAGATTTTAGAGTTAAATGATGGAAGCTATCCACC